ACAGCAATAGAGGACGTTGCCACAGAACGAGTGGCTGCAGCAGAATAATATTATGTCATTTCATTGGAGCTGAGGTCTGATTTTGGGACAGTTTTTTAGCATCAAAGTATGAAATATTTTTTTTTACATTTGAGCTTCATGATTTTAGATTCTTCTTGCTATACAGGACAAGACTTAGAGGAAGTTGGATATGGGCCAACAAGATTTGCACATTTCAGATCGTTTTCACAGTCAGTACCCTCGTGGTGGTCTCCACAACAATGACGCACCACAGAAATACGGCAAGATTGTGAGCTGTGGCCGAACTTCTTGCATTTGTAACATCGGAGTGGATTGGGGGCGTACACCTCCATTCCGATATGGAAATAGCCTGCTTTAATTGATTGTGGAATTGTTGAACGAGCAAACGTCAAGAGTGATGACACCATCTCTCCTAACAGTAAAACATTTTACTGATGTGACAGCCTGTTCCTTTAATTCTGTAGCAATGTCTTCAGACATGTCTATCAAACAACGAGCTTTGTCTCGAACGATGATACAACATGAATTTAATGTTCTGTGCACAGACACAGCAACCTCAATATTTGCAAATAATTTAATCGACAAAAGATTTAGAGATTGCTGTCTCCGTGCACACTCGACAAGAAGCGAGGCACTACGAAGACGGGTAACATTTGATACTTCCCCACAAATACCAGCAACGGACATGGAAACGACAAAAGGGTTTAATTTTATTGGATGTGAATCAGTAGCCTCATTCACCAGGAAACAAGCGGCGGAATTAGCATTTGATGAAACATTTCTTGAAGTATTATAGGGAGAGAGAGAGAGTTAATAGCGTTACCAAGCACCTACCACGAGGAGGTTGCTCTTCAAGGGTGCCAGTAATGTACATGAAGCCATTGTGATTTTAAGCATGTATATACAATAAATAGGGGATTATAAGATGAAAGAGAACAAAATATACATTCCCCTGTTTATTGTATATACATGCTTAAAATCACTCTGGCTTCATGTACATTTCTAGTATAACTTCTGTACATCTCTTAGTTAGTATTCACCTGACGAAGGGGCGAGGAATAGCCCAGAAACGTGTGTAAAATAAAGAAGTTGCCATCCATAATATTTTGTCTTATACTTGAACACCAACTTCTATATGCCTCTCAAGAACCTCAATTATAGAGGGATTAATTGAAAATATTGATTGGGCGCTATATTCACGTGGAAAGTGAACTTCATTGGTCGTGATATTCGTCGTCATCGGCGCTGCTGCAAATGTTTACGCATTCTTCCTGTTTTATAACATATGAGTAATTACATTCAGTCGTGAGATATAATGGCGCTTCTCTCAAAATATTGTTGTTTCCACATAAATGGATATATTTTTTGGCAGATAAGATACTATGATTCAATAATCTATCAGTGTATAATGTTCCAAACCAAACAAGGTATATTATTATTTTAATTGTGTTTTCTATATAATTGTTCATCCAAACTTCAAGTTCATTCCAGAATGTTTGTGTTTTCTCTACATTCCAAATAGAAATGAAAACTACTCTCATTCCGCTCATTAAAGAAACAGCAAAGTAAATTGTCATTTTAAATAGTTCTTTTTTAGTATAGATAATACCACGTAAAAACTTTTATTGGAAGTAAAGTACTTTGACAACTTTTAAACCATATTTGTAAGTCATAAAAATCCTAGTACAATCAACAGTAGCATTAGCTTGCCATTTAAGACACACTTAAGGTAACTCTTCATTAGAAATCAAGGCGTCATAACATATTTTAGATCCTTTACATGATTTCAGTAAATTCAATTATCATTCAGTTATGAGTTAATCAAAAACTGGGATATTTCTAGAGTGTCTCATGCCATATTTCCAAGAATCAGGTAGTATATTCTAAGCATGCAAATTGTCCAAATATGTGCTTTTAATACCTTATATTGCCTTCAACTTGTCAATGGATAAGAAACCAGTTTTGTCACGCAGGCCCTTAACTGTAAGAATTCCTTGGTTAAATGGTTAAAGCATTGTGGCTGGGCTAAGATTTCATTAATATCTCCAGAACTGACATGACTTGTTTGACGATATCTGTTCCATACAAAATATCCTACCAATATGGCTTTATCAATGTGAGTTACTTTTTCAACATTTGCACCAGATTTTAAAGTGACATCAAAAAGAATAATACATGGGTTTTCAATGGTTGTTTTTCTGCAACATGATGTCAGATGAGCTAGTTTCAGTGCTTCACGAAAAGTTGCAGTGTCTACCATTCTTAATCCACCATCTTTGCATACCTTTTCAAATTGTTGCTTTTGATTTTATCAGGTTTGTCAGTGCATATGAATTTGAAGAAGGTATTCTCCAATGAAGTAATAAAATCCTGTAGGGAATTCGGCAAAGTATTGAATATATGAACAAGCTTTGGCATAGCCAACGTTTCTATGACAGTTATTTTGCCAATCAGAGTCAAGTGTCTTTTCCTCCATTGAGCAAGTTGTGCTTCAAATCGCCAGTGGCTGAAGGGATGGCGTAACTTTAGCAAGGGTCCATGCAGGTAGCAAAAGTTCCCATGGTTCGTAATATGATGACCTACCTTCAGTTGCTGGTAATGTTCAGACCGTTTTTATATTGATTTGTCCATAATATTTGTTTAATGCTAGTTTTAACTCTCTATCTGTAATATGTAGTTATTTTACTGTCCTTCGCCGAGAGTTACTTTTTATAATTACATAAGGCTTATTATGAATTTATAACTTTTCATGATAAGGCTAAAATATTGCCGATGTGTCTGTAAATCTTAACTAACTCACTCACCCATTGAGCAAGCAATATATTTATTTCTACTAGTCTTTTTCATGCATTAATTACCCACAAATTGTTAAGACCTGTGTGGAGTTAAATTCCCAAGGCTTCAAACAATCCATTTTGCCATTCTATTGTAATGTCTTTGCGTAATAATATCAGTACTATTTCTCTCTGAGCCAATACATACTGCTTATGTCTTATCAATGACATTTTATAAAAAGTATCAAATTCTTCAATAGAAGCTTTTAAGCTTCGTTAACTCCCATGAAGAAAGAATTCAGTATCATCTGCATATTGATTGAATTTATACTCATTACTGTCAATAACAATACCTACGTGTGATTGTTTGTCTATTTTCTGTCTATTATGTGCCCCTCCACATACGTTCGTTGTTGAAAAATAAGATAGTCATTGGTACAAACACAAGAATTACCTGTACACATATAAGTACTTATTGATATACAATATTCTAAGCATCAAAAGGGTATGTGGAAATAAAAAAAACGAGGGAATGCAATAATACACAATGTTTTGATTCAATGTTAACAATTTTCTAAGAGGCTTTGTCACTGGTCAGTATGCGACTTGTTAATATAAGAAGATGTAAGAAGATGTGTGATTCCTTGCTCTGGAATACTCAGAAAAGCATCAAGGGCAGATGACCGATATGTTATGGTCCAAGCCCTTCGGCCACAAGCTGTATGGGAAGTCTTCCACATGCACTAGGCTGTTGAGTTTGGGCGTTTGAATCAGACATGGTGCTGGTGTGTTTCAGCACCCTTGTTTTTCGCTGTTTTTAACAATGTTTCATTTCACTCAAATTCAACGAATATTGAATCAGTTGCTTCACTGCATGTTCCAAATTGTCGTTTAAAGGGCCCATTAAGCACACAAAAAGTTGCATTTACCTTAGAGTATAAATGATGTCCTCACCACGTTTCAGTTTATATATGACTATCAAATTTTAGGGTGTTCCTATACTTTTTGTTTGTAGTATATGTCACCGCGGCTAAGCGTATTATTTGTTATTGGCTTACACTTAATTATCCTGGAATGCAGCAGAAGTTATCAAAATTGCTTAACAATTATGCATATGTACAATGTATCGTTGAGAATGATTTTGATCCCTAGACGCATTATGTTAAATCCTTATCAGATAAATGTGGCTTATCTTTTGTATTTTATAACCCTGTAAGAGTCCCATGCCAATGGCTAGTTTCACAAGTGGAAATTATTATTAAAAGACCAAATCTACCAACGTTTGAGAGCTGATATTGCAAATAGCTCTCAGAAATTTTACTATTAACATTTTAAAGACACTCAAATGCTTGAAATTTATCCTGTCTTCCCAGCTTATATTTACCCTCCTATTTTGAAACACAGAACATGTAACTCATAATCTCCCGGTACACTGGTCGTTGGCATGGTATTGCTAGAGAAAATAGATGCAAACTTTGCAATTCACCAGCAATAGGTGATGAATTTCATTACTTATTTAAATGTGAAGCCCTTACTAGATTGAAATGTTTACCAACTAGACATATGTACTTCCCTAATTTTTAACTTCTATTGTTAACATATTAACTGTTAATATGCCGGCTGAAATATTGCCGATGTATCTATCAATTTTAATTCACTCACTCACTCAATAAGCGATAAGACGGGGAACACAGAAATGGGCATCTTGCATTGTACAAATGTGGGTAACATAAACCGCGCATACAAGGCAACGGGCTCCCCACACTTCCTCATGTTGTGTGACATATAACTGAATTGTGTCATGACGTCAGTGTGGGTTGTTTTACTCATTATTGCTTATACATGTATCAAAGTGTTCTGATTTGCTCTAAACTACCGGATAACAAATATAAATAGTAGACGCCCTGAAAGATATGTAAATAAATTGTGTAGTGGTTTGCAGTGCTAGTTGCTTTCGTATTGCACATGTTATGCTGTTTCGATATGCCAAAATGTACACATGTACTAACATATCATAGCCTTTGATCTCATAGGCTCGGAGACGACCTTTCTATGCGACAGGTCGGTCATAACGTATGTTATTAACGTTCATTCTTCCTCATCCTGACTCATTCGCATTGGAAACCATCCTGAAAGAGTTTCAGTGATGCTGTCTATGGTGCTCGTTTGTTCAATTTTGTACAAAGACAAAACAGAGTATGCTTATCGTTTAAGTGGTTTATTTAGAATGTCTTCCGTCTCATGGTAAAACACCCATGTCTCTGTAACCAAAATATACATGTATTAATTGCAATGAAGACAGGTTACACTTCAATAACTAAATGTATTGTGTTTTAATAGTATTTAGCAGCGTTTAATGCATGATAAATATTGCACTGATATAGCATAGCATTTGCCCCGCCCGTCCTGGTACATAAGCGTGCAATTCTATTGTACAATAATCATGATGGTTACTACAAACTACCAATGGCATTTTGCAAGCTATAAATCCACTTTTACTCAGTCGAAGAATAGAAAGGTGGAGATACCTTCTGAGTGACGAGTATCGTGGCCAACAGCGAATTCTGGGAAATGTCATTTACTGCCATCATCCGTTTCCTTTCTTGGTATTCATCTATTACTAATCTCGATATTTGATTGGTTGACAAAATCCAATTGCTAATCGACGGGCACATATTCAGTGTACGTTTACGGAAATGTGACCCTTGTTGGGACTGTGATTAATAAGAAATATATTAACATTGGCTTATAAATGTGGTCAGAATCTTACTTAATTTACTGAATTTCATGAGGGATGAAAGTGAAGTCTATCTTGAAACCTTCTCCATTTACAGATCCATCGCTTGTGAAGACGAACTGGAAATGACCATCAGTACCTAGAAAAATGTAAATGCCTGTCAGAAACAACCAATGGTACAATCGGTATAATACAAAGAATTGCAAACAATTATACACTGTCTGGTAAACAAAAAGGGAATTTTGAGAATCACAGATCCTCCGTCAATACAACACGCACCGATTGCTGAAACCTCTCCAGGCATTTTATTTAAACATGTATGTAATTCACAAGGAAAAGGTTTGAGTACAGGTTTTCACAACCTAGGTTGCCCTCTTCCGAAAAAGAACAACATTTACGTGATTGTCTTTATATAATAATTTAAATATGTACAAAGGACAGAGAGAATAACTACATACTAATATAATTGAAATATTTACAAAAGATACAAAACCAATAAACAGAGATGTACATGTATAGCAGAAAACAGTGTATTACATTTAGTTATGTCTTTTAGTTTGATTAATATATTTATGGACAGTGTAAAACAAGTGTACATTTTTGTTGTAGTTGAGATGTATGCTCTCGTTTGACGATAATGACATATCGGGGACTAGCTTCCTTTTACAAATTTTAGTTATGCTGTTAACTAATACATTTCTTGCAGTGTAAAAAGTAAACATTCTATCAAGTAGTGATAACCGTTTACACGTGGATAACTACAGCGACATTAAACACAATTCTAAGTAAGGCATAATTTAACTGGGAGCATAAGTAGCGTAATTTTTCAAGCAATATGTTCTACTTTCTTCTTCAACCACAGTTAATATATGAAGACGCACAACACAGAAAAAATCCTTTTCATTGGGAATGGCATTGGGAATGGGTAATATGTGTGTGTTACTCACTGTACGTCTTCTCTCCGATGTTTGTTCCACACAGCTTGTCTCCTCCCATCTCCACAGCGTCATATCGGCAACTGCTGTCTCTCTCAACGTCAAACAATGGGAAGTTGAAAAGAAGTTCTCCAGGACTTGGGGTGTTGATGGTGTAGGTGCAGTACATGTGGCTGCCGTAACCACCAGGCTGTGACTCAAAGGTACCGGAGGTGCCGTTTATGGTTGCATTGCAGTAGACTGAAATAGGTGTGATTCATCACGTTATTCAGCGATTATTATAACTGAGAAATATGGTTTGATAATGAGCAGTAAGAGGAATAAATAATTTCAACGTGGAATTGAGATAAGGCAAATGTGAAACTGAGATGAGGCACGTTAAAGCCTGTCATAACGCAGACAAGAAACTGAGATAACATAACGTTACTTACCAAGTTCAGTGACATAGTTAAAGGAGAAACCGCTACGCACAACACTTCCGTCACTGGTAAATGTCATGTCAACTGATTGCCCGGTGTCTACAAAAGAGTAAAGCATAAAGGTATTTCAAAACAAAGACTTTCCAAACAACATTTTACTCGTTTGTTATGTCACTGTCATAGTCTCCATGAATGCTCATTTGGAACATGTTAGAATCATAGAACCATCAATTGTCTTAGAAATATGTGTTTAAAGTGCAACAATTGGACAGCAATGATTAACTGCAGTTAATTTAAAGGTATAGCAAGACTACCTACATTGTCTGATAAAGGACTCTTTAGCTCCACACAGTTTCTCGCTGGTGTCGTCACTTGACACTGTCAAACTGTCATAGTCGCAGCCCGTATCGTCCTCGATGTCAAAACGGGTAAAGTTGACAGTGGTGATGTGAGGGGTGGGGGGAGAGCGGATAGTGATGTCACAGTGTTGGTTGTTTTCGTATTGTCCCTCGGAATCAGTGGCCAGGGTATAGGTGCCCTCAAGATCATCACTGTCGAAGTTGCAGTCTGGAATTTCAGTACATGTTGAAAAAGAAGTAGATCACACGAAACGTGATCAGAAAATATACTTCTTCAAGACTTGAACGCCTAAAAGCGATACACAGAACCTCTTTTCTAAACCTTATGGGATGTGTGTTTAATGCAGAAATTATTGGATTCGACTCTCAGCTTCTCCTTAATTATAGATACACAATGTAGTTTGTAATCCCAAATATGCCACGTTCTCAATCATTCGTAACTATATATTCTCTTCACTATATGGCTGGAATAACGCCGATGTGACGTAAAGCCCAACTCAACCCAATCCGTAACCATAATGCATTATTGACGTGATAATATTCCACATCGATTGGAGGTCTGTTTAAGGTTATACGTATGGACATTGTCATGGAAGCTATGCTCCAAAATGTTAACACTTTTGGTGGAGCTGAAGTGACATTAATAACATGACACAATAGTTTCCCTTCACTTGTGCCTGGTATGTTAGCAAATATGAAATTCATTCCTATTTTCTGAGAGACAAAGGCGATATTCTGTATCAAAAGATGATTAAAAGGACATGTGTTGCTACTGGCATTCATCAAAAACAAGGGCTGTTTACTATGTATTTGTGGGGTGTCTATGGTAATCTGCGTTATGATGTTTCAGTGACCTCAGTCCTGGCCTGTTTAATGTATGTTGTATATTGACACTCAAAGAATACTTACGCTCTTCAATACTGAACAAAGCCACAAAACCCTTTCCTGTATTACTGCTGTCACTTCTGAAGCGGATTATGGCTGATCCACCTTGCACTGACACTGAAGGAAAGACATCACATTATAAAGGTAATTAGGAAGATGTCAAGTTATATTAATGACAATACAAACACCAGTTTCTCAATCTTCATGGCATACAAGAATGTATTTTACCTGAATATGTGTAAGCAGTCATAATATCTGCTGCACTTATCTTGGTCACAAAGTTCTCTCATACAACAAGCAAATGGAAAATACTGACAATGTTCGAGGACTCGTACCTCTGGTTGCGTTGGGCAAATCACTTCCACAGTATTTGTCATCCCCAACCTGGACGTAGTCGTAGCGGCAGTTGCTTGAAGACTCTGTGTCGAGGGCGGTGAAGTTGATGTTCAGGTAGAAGAGGGTGTTGCGAGTGAACACATAAGAGCAGTCCATGTTGTTTTGGTAGTCACTGCCGGTACCCGGGAGACTTTGGATAACGCCCTCTGAGATGTTGGTGTTGATGTATGTACATTCGCCATTATTCATGGAAGGGACACCTCCTGAATCGCACAAAATGTAAATGTGGTTCATGATAAGTAAATTGACCAATTCTTAGGTGCATGGAACGGTTTTCGTTATTCAAGACGGTACATCTTCATTACAAGTACTTCAAGTGAGGATCAGAGTGAGAATCGGCATTCCGAAAGCTAGGTTTATGGTAAGAGGAGACAACTGGATGGGGTGAGCAGGCATTACTTGACAGACTGGCTTTGTGCGTGTCACCGAATTCCAAAACCCAGATCGATGCTCATCATGATGCTTACTGGATTATTTTCTCCCGCTCATTTACAGACTGTCACCATAGAGTTTGAATATCTCTGTGCTAAAAAAATAACTTCAGAGTAAAACATCCAAACAGACACTAAACCTACATTACAAATGATGAATGTTAGTGAGATCATTACAGTCTAGTGGGTATTAAAAATTGTTTCCTTACGTTCGACTGAGACTTCGTGTATTTGTAGTACAAATAATGACGTGTGAAACCCGGATCAGTGAAATTAGTACAAGAGAGATTCGCATGCGATACACTTAGTGAATATCTGTTATTGTGATAGTTAGACAGGGCAAGGACAACAAATACACATGAGCCATTGGTGAATGAATGAATTTTAACTATGAAGTTTGCTGGAGTGTAAGACGTTTAAAGACTAAACAAGTGTCGCTTACTTGGTTGAATGGTGTAAGTTGCAGCGTATCCTGCTCCTGTCTGGCTGGAGTCAGAAGAGAACGTCAGTGTAACGTTACCGCCATCCGATGTGTCTGAAAGCATCAGTATATACAATATATTTATTTCAGTATATGTAATTCTTGTGTTTCAAAGCATTGATAATTTCCATAATTAATGAAGACGGACAGATCCCATTATTGTATTGGATCTATAGCCTGTTTTTATATTGCATTGTCCAAATAGTGCTATCAGTTTTAACTTTCCACACTAGTTTTAGTTGTAATTGTGATATTCTAGTTGTTTTACTGTCCTTCGTCGACAGGTTTGTATAACGTACAGATATTCCATTTCAATGTCAAATGTTCTCATTTAACTTTTTATTGTATAAATTGTTTTCGTCACGATATGGCTGAGATATTGCCGATGTGACGTTAAATATAAACTCACTCACTCACTCATTATTGTATTTGTTCAGTTGATCTTAGTTTGTGTATTAAAGGGGACATTGTACTTGATACAGTAGAGAACGAGCAACCGTGTGACTTCTATGGGCATATGAGCTACCTCCTCATTTACAGTGTGTACCTAGGGGAACGCTCTTTCAAGTCGATGTACACCCTTTGTCTGATGATATGGTATTTAAAATTCTAATTACAACAGTGTACAAGATCTTAGATGTAAGATTAACATGTGTGTGAGACTGACACTCCACTGTTCTGTCGCTCCAGCTTGATCCACATCCCTTCTGGCTGCTGCTCAGGCCCGTATCCACCTCCAGATAGTCGTATCTACAGTTAGATGAGGACTCGAGGTCAAACGTTGTGAAGCTGACGACCAAGGTGTATGGTGTATTGGGGCCTGTGATAACAGTGACACAGTGCTCGTTGTTGGCGTAGCTGCCGTTGCCGGGGCTTGTCAGGGCGCCATTATCTGATGTCAGGACTTGGTTGCAGGTTTCTGTCATTAAGAGACGGCAGACAGAAATTGTTACATCAGTGAGTGTGCTGGGTTTAACGCTGTTTTGAACAGTATTCCAGTTACATCTCGGTGTGTCTGGGTTATCACTTGATAATACACACTGTGTTTTGGAGACATTTTGTACTAACATAGAAGAACATATATCAGGAAAATCATTATTGGTGACTATTTATGAACTCGTGAACAGACAAAGTCAGATCAAATATGCCATGGATTCAATAGCGCTTTAGAAGATGTTTTGCCTGGCTATCAAACAGGGAGATTGATTGTTGTTTAACGCCGCACTCAGCAATATTCCAGCTTTATGGCGGCTCAGACGGGAAGAACACACAAACGAACCAAGGCAGTCACTGCCACTCCAAGACAAACTAAGACTCACCAGGCTCAGTGGGTGATGTCGTGATAGGCTCAGTGGTAGGGGGAATGGTTGTTACTGAAAAGTAATGTCAAACATGCACTTAGGCATTTACGAAAAAATATCATATCACATTATTATTTGAAAGTCTTATCTAGCTGTGAAATCAACTTCAGTGATGACATAGAGGATTGAGAAAACAGCTAAGTATTTGAAGAAATCCCATAAAATGTTGAAATATGTGTCGATCACACATGAGGATAGTCTCAATATGACGGTGAGAACGCGTTGGTTCTCATTATGAAAACAAAGACGGAAACGAAAATCACAAGCCACTCAGATTTTCGTTACAAAGATTTCGCATACGGATACTGACACGACCCAATACTTGGAGCCACATTGCTGATTCAGTACCACAAACCCTGGTTGGCGTATTGGTGATTCCTTGCACGACTCAAAGCCATGGTGGGCATATTGCTGATTCATAAGACGGCCCAAAAAACTTTATTGGAATATTGCTGATTCAATATCACCACGAACTCTGGTGGGGTCGTTGCTGATTCCTTATACCACGTAGAACTTGGAATACAAATTACTTATCCCTCAACGAGGGCTCTCTTCGACCCAGTACCTGGTAGTGTTGGAAGTGGGGATGTGGTTACATCGGTCTGTGTGAAGTTGAAGTTTATACGGAATCCAGCATCAGTTACGGAACCGTCACTTGTGAAGACGAACTGGAAATGTCCATCAGTACCTGTAGGAGCATACATGTTTCTTACTGACGCAATAAAGGAAAACGCTTTTTTAAGAACGCAAAAAAAGAACTGATCAGTTCTTTTCTGAAAGACTCATGCTAACATTTCCACCTCGAGGAACACGACCGAACACAGGTGATGTGTGGGTATCTGTCTAGAGGGATACTGATATGTCACACGTGCTTCTAGAGACATGAGACAGGCAGGTTACTGATATATCACACGTGCTTCTAGAGACATGAGACAGACAGGTTACTGATATGTTACACGTGCTTCTAGAGACATGAGACAGGCAGGTTACTGATATGTTACACGTGCTTCTAGAGACATGAGACAGGCAGGATACTGATATGTCACATGTGATTCTAGAGACATGAGGCAGGCAGGATACTGATATGTCACATTTGATTCTAGAGACATGAGACAGGCAGGATACTGATATGTCACACGTGCTTCTAGAGATATGAGACAGACAGGTTACTGATATGTCACACGTGCTTCTAGAGACATGAGACAGGCAGGATACTGGTATGTCACCGTGCTTCTAGAGACATGAGACAGGCAGGTTACTGATATGTCACACGTGCTTCTAGAGACATGAGACAGACAGGTTACTGATATGTTACACGTGCTTCTAGAGACATGAGACAGGCAGGATATTGATATGTCACACGTGCTTCTAGAGACATGAGACAGACTGGTTACTGATATGTCACACGTGCTTCTAGAGACATGAGACAGACAGGTGTCTTCGACAACAAACGTGTTACTGTGACAGGATAACTCGAAATGTTGTTCATAGTTTATCCTTGTGTACTACTCACTGTACATCTTGTCCTCCACGAATGTTCCACATAGCTTGTCTCCTTCCATCTCCACGGCGTCGTATCGACAGCTGCTGCTTGACTCAACGTCAAACAGTGGGAAGCTGAAGGCAAGTTCTCCAGGACCAGGGGTGTTGATGGTGTAGGTGCAGTACATGTTGTTCTCGTAGCCACCGGGTAGTGACTCAAAGGTTCCGGATTGGGCGTTTATAGTTGCATTGCAGTAGACTGAAACAGGAAATAATGAAGCATTGACTATTGTGAAATGATACAAAAATAAGTATGCCTGATAATGTGCTGCTGGAGGTTCTAGATGTTTATCTGAAAACTAGTATGCCTGATAATGTGTTGACACACATGACAAGTCACACGAAGAGATTGTGCATGTCATTGATGTTGTTTTTGTTTTTTATCCTCGCAGTCAGCAATATTCAAGCTATATGACGCCGGTCGAATCTCACACAGTCCAGTTACAGGCATCAGGAGAATCGTTAACGTCCATCAACCAGTTCTGGTTGCAGAATTTGGACCCGATCTGGACTTGTTGTTGTTCATGTTAAACGATACAATGCAAGCTGAGAAATGGCACATGTGAATATCTGATATTGCATATAATCATACGTACCAATTTCAGTGACATAATCAAAGGAGAAACCGCTGCGCACAACACTTCCGTCACTGGTAAATGTCATGTCAACTGATTGCCCGGTGTCTGCAAAACAGTAAAATGTATGGGAAACATGTCAATGTCATAGTCTCTCTGAATGTCCTCGAATTGAGACTTAATGATCGGCTTAATGTATATTTTAAGGAACTCATGAAAACATTATTTACAGCCCCAAAAATGTGTCATTACTTGTCATATAGACATCTACAACGTTGTTGTGTTTTCCTACAACCAACATTTCTCCAAGCATCTTTGTTGATGTAGTCAGAAAGCGATGTACAATTACCAACACTGCACCTCAAACGTAATCCAATCCCATGTTGACAGAACCACTTTAGAGTCTTAGCGCGGCACTTGTTGATGTTCATAACCACGAGATCTTTTGGTTTATAGCATACGAGCATAGGTTAAAAAGCACAGGAAGATATCTCACATTGTCTGATAAAGGACTCTTTTGCTGCACACAGTTTCTCGGTGCCCTCGTCACTTGTTATAGTTAAACTGTCATAGTCGCAGCCCGTATCGTCCTCGAGGTCAAAACGGGTAAAGTTGACAGTGGTGATGTGAGGGGTGGGAGGAGAGCGGATAGTGATGTCACAGTGTTGGTTGTTTTCGTATTGTCCCTCGGAATCGGTGGCCAGGGTATAGGTGCCCTCAAGGTTATCAATATCGAGGTTGCAGTCTGGAATTTTGGATGGGACAAAATGCTGAGTTACTTCAGTATCTGAATATGTTCGGATGTTACTGAAAACCTGAAAGTAATACTAACGTAATTATACACGAATTTCTTCGTTCACCTAGCACGTAGTTGACTGACAATGAAAGCTATTCATGCTACATATGAATCTACTATGTATGTTTTAAAATCGGACCCGGACCCACCTGTTGATTGCCCCCCACCATCCTACACGTGATAAAAACATGACCGAAAGTCTGTGCCCCTTAAATGTGCCATGCTCATTCTGTACACAGGCGACCGCCTCCGTGGTGTAGTGGTTAGAGCGTCCGCCCGGACAGCGGAAGGTCGCGGGTTCGATCCCCGACCGCGTCATACCAAAAGACGTTAAAATATGGTAATTGTTGGTCCCTGCCTGGCGCTCGGCGTTAATGGGTACATCAAGGACTGGTCGGCTCGGAGTCAGTATAATGTGTCTGAATGGGGTATTCATGCTTCACTGCGGCATGATATCTCAGTGGGCTAGCACTATAAAACCAGCTAAAGTCTGGGCTAGTACAAGCAGCCGCTCATACACATACACACGCATGTACGTCTTCATATGAGCGAAATATTCTCAAGCACGACGTTAAACCCAATTTCACCTCACCTCACCTGTACACAGGCGTCTCCCATGCCATCTTTGCAGCTCTAGCTTGCCCGTCCCTGATGAGTTACGTTCACGATGCTATGGTATCTGACTAACCGACCTCATAAAAATTTGGTTCTAACGAGCAAAAGACGTGAAACTGTCAGAATGGCTGTACAACCGTTGCTGTGCCCTTCTGTTAGAGTTGTCTTTATATACAGATAGTTTATGGACCGTTACATCACCATCCGAGATTGGATACACAAGTATTCTTTGGTGCACACGTACTGAACGAAGTCACAAAACACTTTCAAATAACTGCTGTCACCTCGCAAGTGGGTTATGGCTTATTAACATTGTTCTGACACTGGAGGATATCTTAATGGATTTATGTTTTGACCACTGCAAGTTGTACTCACCGCCATTTGGGTCGGGAAGACCTGTAGCGTTCACGGTTGTATTCACTGTCCAGCACACAGAAGTATAATACATATGATCAATAGCGAGACTACATTCGAATAATAGGAATGTTTGGTGAAGTGTAAGTAATAATGCAATACTGACATGACAGAGAATCGTAATTACTTCACGTCGTATAGTTACATTTCACAGGTACCTGTCATTAAGGGACAGCAGAGTGGAATTGTTATGTGATGCAAAATGTCAACAGCAATTCATACAGTGTATGTATTTGAATAGTGTACGCACATACATGTATTCAGTTCCCTAGAGGTTTGATACAGGGATCTCTAGAAGTAATAATATGATCCCTACAATGTTCTACTGTTTGAGAGCACAACATAATCATTATCTGGAAGTTGTACAGGGAGTTGTACTCACCGTCCTCGGTGTCGAAGAGACTTCTAACGTCCACGGTTATATTCACTGTTCAACACATACAAATTCGATATACATGGTCTATGGTTAAGAGTGCATGCTATTAAATAGTAACGTTTTTTAAATGTTGATATTGATATGAAAGATAAACACATTTACCAAACTGTGTATTGATAGATGTTTCGCAATAGCAACTTTGCCAAAGAACTACACTGATTGAAAAAAGCCAAGTTCACTTTGAGGGTAAGAGGTCCGGGTGCTTAAGATTGACACATGTGACAAACCCTTCTGTTCCTACATTTACTTTATCTATATAGTGACTTGGCGTACCTGGAAGCGTTGTGGCTTCTGTGACATTGGGTGACGTCGTTGAGTTAATGATAACATCCACTGGATATGGCGTTGTCCCAAACACTAGAACGGCAGTGTTAACATATGTAGAACACTGACATCATAGGTATCGTCTGAGTTTGACCAGGATATACGCTATTGTCAATCTAGTGCCTTGATTATATTTGTACTCTGTGTGTTAGACACTATGATGCTCTATTATTATGACAATTCTTACTTCATCCAACACTAGTCTGTTGTACAGGGCATATTGGCATGACAATAAACAACATTTGGTACAAAACGTATTCTCAGATTTCATTTAACTGACAACGGCAATTTTACAAGAACTTCATGCATAGTAAGACCAAGAAACTTGGAGTACCTGGAAGTGATGTGACGTCTGTGAAATTGAGTGACATCGTTGAGTTGAAGATAGGGTCCACTGGGTATGGCGTTGTCTCCACGGATTCAAACTCTTGAACTACAATGAGTTACAAAAATATCAAATAATGAGTACAGGAATACCATTCGTGTAACCTCAGCATGAACCTCAACAGTATACAATTGCTCGATACACGGCATTGTCAACCCCAAGCTATGGTTACATGTACAATGTGATGTATGTCACCATGATGTAAATCCAGCCCTTTAATTATTACAAGCCTTCACCAATGGTGGAGTAGATCTGATATTTACCTGGATTCATGGCATATGTTGTCTGGAAACCCCTTCCTGTCACTGATCCGTCGGAGTGGAAGCAAACGTTGAAACGACCGTCGTGGACTTCAACTGGAGGAACAGAAACAGAATTTCATGCTGCCACAGCTTGTATATAGACATGTCTTTAGTATTATCAGCTTTAAATTGCTTGTGCTTCCATTGAAATACAAAGACTTATAATTCAGAATTTATAGAACCCGTCTGGATAATGGCTATGACTATCAGATGTTGATATCCCGATTTCCCTCCCGATTTATATAAACCTAACAAATTACGTCTGGTATGGTAAATTATGTATACATAAACTAACTTAGTCCCTCCATGGAAACTCTTTATTCAACCACAACAAAACCAGTCGTCAACTAACACTCTCTCTGGGTTCCCTGAACGTTTTATTTTTTGTTTAATCAACTTAAAATGAAACTGCGACTGCTTCAGCTCCATGGAATGTTATTTGTATGACAACACATCCGACCATTCAGTCATATTTAGACTTCGTCTGGATACTCCCTTTATTCCCATCTCCATGTAAGGCTTAGTGGCACATAGAGATAGGGATTTTACCAAATCTCTCCCCTGTTCCCCAATGCTATAAGTCTGTGGTATCTCACACATGAAGCACTAACGTAGGTCCTCCATGGAACCTCTGCAATCGATCAGAACAAAACCAGTCGTCAGATATGATTTAGAAACAGAATTGCTTGATATTGGCATATCTCTTTCCTGTTTCATAAAGCTATGAGCCTGTGGTATCACACACATGAACTTAGGTCCTCCATGGAACCTCTGCAACCAACCAGAACGAAGTCAACTCACACTCTCTCTGGGTTCCTGCATCAACAGAGCCACACTCCCTCAGTTTGGTGTTGCCGTCATCAAACTCGATATAGTCAAATATACATTCGGTGGCCTCTTCAATGTCAAACACGTTGAAGACAAAGGTGATGATGCCCGACCCTGAGAAGCTTGGATGAAGTGAATAACAGACGTCCTGGTTGTTGTCGTAGTTGCTGACAGAGTTGATACTGATGTTGCCATGGTTACCATAGTAGGTTACGTTGCCTGGACAAGATGCATAGATACTTATTACAAATTTAGTCACAATTATCCCCACTTTGGCATTTCAACTCACAATAATTGTGTTACACTTATAAGAAACCTTTGAAAAGCTTCATCACGTTTATGTCATGGCTCTTCTTGGAGACATGTTACCATCATATGTTATTAATAGTGTTAGAAACACGTTTGAATTCACTGCTAAAGAACAAAATAACTGTTATTATTTTTTTTCTGAAAAGCTGGCTCTTGTTAGGAAGATCTCATTCAGAATATATTTCAGATGGTATTTGCTCGTTATCGTGACTTTACCCACCATCAGGTGTTCCACTGAAAGTGTTGTCACATGTTGGTATGTACTCTTCAGGATTCTCCGGCACTGAAACCACCAGACATGCTTATTATAAACTCCTTGTACTTCAGGACGTTCAGGTGAGTGGGTGACTGAGTGGGTGAGTCGTATAAAAGGGTGCTGCAGTGGGGTGTGAAGAAAATTAAACATACTTTGTAGATATAACAGTCTTTCTGCTAACAGGTAATACATAACAAAGAATAAGAGAAGCTTGTGTACGTTCAAAATACTTTTACAGAAACTGTTTTGTGGACATGCAGCGTGCAGTATGTTCATCATAACTGCAAATTGGCTTTTCCAATAAAGTCAATATCACATATAATAATACTTACCACTCATCGTCGGGTAGGAAGTAGTGGCATATTGTGGATAGTCAGCAGTGACATAGTCAGGATAGGGAGAAGTGAAATAATTTTGGTATTGATAATAATTGTAGTAATAGTTGGGATAGCTGGTTGAGGGATATTGTGGATAGTCAGTAGACGCGTAGTAGGGATAGGGAGTAGTGAAATAATCTGGATATTGGTTATAATTATAGTAATAGCCGGGATAGCTACTAGTGGGATATTGTGGATAGTCAGTAGAGGCGTAGTAGGGATAGGGAGTAGTGAAATAATCTGGATATTGGTTATAATTATAGTAATAGCCGGGATAGCTACTAGTGGGATATTGTGGATAGTCAGTAGAGGCGTAGTAGGGATAGGGAGTTGTCAAATAATCTGGATATTGGTTATAATTATAGTAATAGCCGGGATAGCTGGTAGTGGGATATTGAGGATAGTCAGTAGAGGCGTAGTAGGGATAGGGAGTTGTCAAATAATCTGCATATTGGTTATAATTATAGTAATAGCCGGGATAGCTGGTAGTGGGATATTGAGGATAGTCAGTAGAGGCGTAGTAGGGATAGGGAGTAGTGAAATAATCTGCATATTGGTTATAATTATAGTAATAGCCGGGATAGCTGGTGGTAGCATATTGAGGATAGTCAGTAGTGACGTAATCAGGATAGCTAGTAGTAGCATATTGAGAATAATTCGTCGTAATAGTAATAATGAGCGTAATCTGGGTAGCTGGTAGTCGCATATATTGTCAGTCGTAATAATCGTAATAATAGAGCGTAGTCTGGGTAGCTGGTAGTAGCATACTGGGAATAGTCAGTCGTCACGTAGTCAGGATAGTCAGTGGAGACGTAGTAGGGATTGGGAGTTGTGAAATCTGGATACTGGTTATAGTTATAGTAATAGTCAGGATAGCTGGTGGTAGCATATTGGGGGTAGTCGGTAGTGACGTAATCAGGATAGTCAGTAGTGATATAGTCAGGATAGTCAGTTGTCAAAGAGCTTGTGGTGGTGGAGCTGCTGTCACCTGTGAAAAAGACATGTTGGGTTTAAATTCTGTTTGGTAAATAATGAACGGCTTTGCTCACTTCACGTTAGTTGATTCTGGTCTGTTTCTTTAAGATTTAATTCGCCCAGTTGAATTATACAATATTCAAGATCTAACTGACCAGCTTTACATGTTTTATATCATATTTTTATAAAGAAACTCCTCATCTTACAACGTTTCATGTTCGACTTCACTGGAACACATCTATAATAGCTGGCTTCATATGTTTTCTTCGTATACCACTGAAATACTTATGTATTATAGAGGGATGAAATGACCTTATTTGCATCAATAACATCTCCAGTCTGGCTTTACTGCAGATTACGTGTTAGTTAATCTGTTACAGTAGCATATTCCGATCACCTGTGTCAATGCTGTAGGATCCACTGAACCCTTCGCCGGTGACGGAGCCGTCGCTGGTGAAACACATTTGGAACTGACTTTCTGTGACAGTGACTGAAATATATAAAATCTGAAAAATATGCACTGTGACAACGACGAGAGGTTTAACAATAATGTAGTATAACAACGACACAACCTTTGGTCCAAAGCATCAAGGAAACATTAAATCATCCAAATTCTGTTTATTGCTATTAACCCCATGGATTCAGGGACTGAGTTCATGTTTTAATGTTGGGAACCTAAAGAAATGACAAAGATAGCACCTGTGACTAATTTCAACAGATGTTCATGATTCACACTGATCATGTCATTGGGGGTGCTGTCAGTGAGGTCAACTGAACGGAAACCTGGAAATGGACCGTTCACATAGTATACAAGACTTGTAACTGATTTCAGCAGATGTTCAGAACCTTTCAGAAAGGATAAAGCTAAAATACACTAATGATTCTGAAGAGTGGGTGTGTCGGTGGGTACAGAAAGGGAACCAAAAGGGAAAAGTGCATGTTGTACTATGTATGGAACATCTACTCGTTCATAGATCTAGGTATCCGATTAGCACAGTGTACATACAAAGCTTGACGCTTTTATCTGCGGTCAATTTTTATCTATTTTATCATGTCCTCTAATTCATCTCAAAATATTAACAGTATTGTATTCTGTACTCACATGTCCTTGAGAAGTTGGTCTTCTGTCCACACTCCTTCTCAGGCCCATCTTCCGTGTTGAAGGTAAGGGCATCATAGCTACAAGTGGAACTACTTTCTAGGTCAAACGTAGCAAAGTTGAATGTGATTGTCCACGTGCTTCCTTGTACATTAGGTTCGAATTCCCAGCAGCAGTTCTCGTTGTTGCTGTACTGACCGCCAATGTTGGTGGAAACTGGCCCGAAGTTGTCATACCTTATTCCTCCGTCACAACCTGAATAACGATGTTCAGTTAAGATATAAATATTACAACCACATTCTGCTGTCCCATCACAGGAATCGATTCCAGACTGCCAGATTGACTGTTTGGACCTTCTTATCTTACGCCCAATATGTTCCAGGACTGTACGGAACTGACTGAGGGAGCACAATATCCGGCCCCGACGACCTGCAATACGTCCAATTTTGCTCCAACATCACTGACAGGCACGTCTTGCCTGGTGCAGACAGCATCTACGGTACAGGATTTGGATCGTGTTTTGTTCCCTGATGAGTCGAAATTTCAACGGGACTGCACAGAGGGCAGGGCAATGGCGTATAGAAGGCGAGGTGAACGGTATGCTGACGCGTGCGTTGTTCAACGCCGACAGTTTGGTGGAAACAGCATTATGGTATGGGGAGATATCGCGTCTCGTGGACACAAATTGTCATTATCAATCTGACAGGTCTGCAATACAGGGATGAGATCATTGGACCTCATGTGCAGCCGTTCATTCAAGGACAGAGACGTAACTTCACGCTTCAGCAAGATCCTGCCCGTCCACATGTCGCTCCTGTTGTGACAGATACCCTGAGACACCCGAACATTCAGGTACCCATCTCGCCAACAGTGCTCACCGGATCTGTCCCCTATCAAGCACGCTTGGGATGAAATGAAGCGATGTTAAAGCCAAGAATCAGGCATTGGCGTTAGCTGAATTGGGACAAGCGTTGGTTCAGACATGGAACAACATTCCCCAAGCTTTCTCAATCGCTTAATGTCGTCTATTCGTCGTCGTTGTGAAGCCTGCATCGACGTCAATGGTGCACACACACTCAATACTGACAGGGGTTGAAGAATACCATTGCCCGACGCCCGGGTCCAGTGGAATTCTCCGGTCGGTCAAGTAAATATCCACATGAAACTTTACCGTGGTACAGTAGTGCCAAACTACTGATACTAAAGTATTTTGATGATAAAATGACAAATCAATTGCTACCAATTGATAAAGATGATTTGCAAAAGAAACCAAATTGTAAATTGTGGTCAAGTGAAATTAATATTTGGTCAAGTGGATTTTGAAAATTTACTGGACCTTTGTCCAGTGGAGTTTTGAAAAAATATTCATCCCCTGAATACTCAGTTTGTGAACTGACTTTTGACATATCTCTTCAAGGGCGTGTCACGATGTCGGGTGTCAAATCATACAGATTTCTATGTTATTCCGCCAACAGTTAAACAGAGATTAAGGGAAACACCACAAATGATGTTATTATCTTTTTGCATTAAAAAATGGTTTAAAACCAAATAATGCACATTTTATTCCAGTAGTACATGTCCTTTCTTTGGGATTGTCGGTCCCTTTTCGTTTTACTTGTTGAAAGTAAACTGCAAATGATTCCATTATGCATTGACTAAGATAAAAATAATACGCCAACTTGATTTAATCAAAGTGTGAGCACCAGACTGAATATTCATCTCTAAATAAATACCAGGACTAACCGTTTGTTTGTCGTTTCTCACGTGCTTGAACATTCTGTGGAAAAACACAACAAGCTATGATCAATTTGATCACATTACCATTCCAAAAGACTTGACAAAACTTCCAAAAGATCAGAAAACATCCAAACATACCACACATACGTCCCTTTTCCAATACTTTTGGTCAATTATAGCTCTTTCCGATACATTCAGTGACAAACATTATACTTCTAACAAGGAACCAACAACGTAAGAAAATGACGTCTATGCCAAGGGAAACTATAACGGATGGCAGCTTGCATGGCTTTCGATGAACGCAGAAATATGAACGAGTTCATGATTGAAAGTGAACATTTCCCCATGTGCCTTCAATGCAATCATCTACTTGAGAACCGAAAAGGGCATGACACTTAACACATGAAAAACGTATTTCTTTAATTTTACAGAAACCGTTGCCAAACTTTGTAAGCCTGATTAAGATATAAAATACTGTCTACCATTTAACCCAGATTCTTGAAATAGGTACATACTTTGCTGTTCTGCTTGTTCCAACCATATCCGTATTGCACTTAGTCTTATATGCAGTAAAACAATTAGCAGAAATATACTCACATTGAAAGCCCGTCCTTCAGTCTGAGCCAAAAGAAGGCTCACTACCAGAGTAAAGCAGATCATGCCTGGGACATTCATGCTGCATGTGCTGAATGCCACGAAATGAACCTGCCTTTATACACATTCACAGAATAAACACCTGTTCAATGCAGCAAAATACCAATGTTAGAAAAACATGTGTCAGCAGAACATGACGAAACAGTCCAACATAAAGGTTGATGGAACATCTGCACATAGTCGATGGTTCACCTGCTACCGTGGATCTTAGATATCCCAACTAATGGACAGGTGACCTGAAACACGGAATACGATTACATGTGAGGTTTACTTAGCTGTAGATATATGAAAGAGGAGGTTGCACTCATTGTATGTTTATTTCAACAAAACAGGAGATGGGAACGACCTTACATATATGTGCGGAGTCGTTTTTGAAATGGATGTAAATTCGAACAAAAACTAAACTTTCTTTTTCTATTACAAAACGATATAGATATTGTTCCTCATGGTGTTCAAACCTTTGGATACTGCAAAGGCTATTCAATACATTAACAAGGTTTGCAAGAAGTATGAAGGAGTCATGAGTTTGATAAAACTAATGCAATTCCATTATTTTGATACAGTCATCAACACAATTAATGCCTTGTAACTTTGTTACGTTTGATATTTTAATAAACCAGTTTGCTGGCTTTAACGAATATATGTATATATTTAGAACCATTTTGTTAACCTGTTGTTAATCTAGCAATTATTTTCTGACAGATAATTTAATGCCAAGAACATTTGGAATATATTTGTTCTGTAAGCACTTAAAACAATCCCTGTTAGTAACTTGAATATACTATTATAATCTTGACATTCATGAACACCTGTTTCGCTATCAAGTCATTAATTTATTCGAATAATGGAGAAGCTTTCTGAGAAGCCATTGCATCGTGTGTACATGCAGAGTGTGGAACAGAAAAGCAATCCCACCGTCTCCGACATGCCTGTGGCTTTGACTCCGAGGTCCATCCATGGTACGACCCTGAACATGTCCAGGGCGTCTTGGAAAATGATGCTTTCAAACTCCTCTGGAATAGGCCCATATACAGCCTCAGAAGAATTCCAGCCAACAAACCTGATCGTGTCCTTTTTGATAAAGCCAATGAATTTATTTATATCTTTGAATTTTCTGTCCCTTTTGACACCAATGTGATTGGCAAGATTCAGGAAAAGCATGATAAATATGCAGATCTCGCCTTTGAAATGTCTCGCTTGCATCCCAAGTACACTGTCGCCAGGCTCCCCATTGTTCTCGGTGCCCTTGGTTTGGTACCACCTGATTACTTGGTGCAAATCAGGAGAGTGCCCGGGTTCTCCACCGGGAGTACAGCCCTTCTGACACTCTGGGTAATGCAGAAGGCTGCAGTGTTGGGGCGCCTTCATATTCTCCGGAAAGTTCTTGGTGGGTTCGACCAGGCAGCGTTTCCTGGGAGAAGTCCCATTCGCTGTCTGGGCTGCGTGTAGAGGGGGCAAGGGCCCTGAGCTGATGATGAGCCTTACCAGCCTGACTGTGCCAGGATCACCCGAACCCTCCCTGCTGCATACTACCTTTAATCTGTAAAACATAATAATACTGTAGATTTGTTATGCGTCAAAGCTCCAGGCACTTGGTGTCTGCTCATGGCGCTACACAAAATTAAAATACACTGCAGTAGAGGTGCTATATTTTCAATGGTATATCAAACTTTATAGAACTTTTGGAAGAGATGAGTCTTTATGCAGCTTTCATAGATTGTCAATGATGTGGATTTCTGTATTCCCAAGGGAAGATCGTTCCACAGAGTTGGGGCCATGCAAGCAAATGATCTCTGTCCATACTTTTTGAGGCGGGATTTGGGTACTTTAAGAAGTAACTGATCAGCAGATCTTAGCTATAGTGTCCGAGAAGGTTCATATTTCTCAATCACTTCTGTCAGATAGGCGGGAGCTGTCTGATTGACACATTTATATGTCAATGTGAGAATCTTGTACTGGACTCGACCTTGGACTGGGAGCCAGTGTAGGGAAGTTAGCACTGGTGCTATATGTGCACACTTCCTCGTTCGGGTCACGATCCGTGCTGCATTGTTTTGGACCCGTTTGAGTTTCGCAAACTGTTCCTGGGTTAGAATTCCCAACAAGCTATTTGCATAATCAAGTCTTGCCAATACAAGTGTTCTTGCTAGCATATGTACCATAGCAGTAGAGAGAAGATCTTTAATGGAACCAATATTCCTTAGATGAAAATAGCAAGAGTGACAGATTTTACATATGTGATCATCCATTGATAGACTGTTGTCGAAAAACAAGATTTTTGACACATTCCGAAACTGTAATCTCAGCGTTTCCTACTCGAACGACCTCGAACTCGAACTTTAAGTAACTGTGTATTATCTGCGTACATATTATGATTTACACTTGAGGTTGAAAGAGATTTGGCCAGATCAGAAGTATACAGTGTGAATAGGATGGGCCCAAGGACAGATCCTTGAGGAACACCATACTTTAAGATGGCAGTTTCAGAATTTGAGTCACCGATACAAACTGACTTGACTCGACCAGAAAGGTATGACATAAACCATTTCAGTACAGTTCCATCAATACCTATCGACTCCCTCAGTGTTGCTGAGAGTTGTTCATGATCGATGGTATCAAATACCGCCGAGAGATCTAACAATACCAACAAGCCAACACGCCCACCATCCACAGATGTCAACAATTTATTCATAATGCGAAGCAGCGCTGTTTCAGTACTGTGTTCTGGCCTATATGCAGACTGATTCTTATCCAGTAAGCCAAATCTGTCAAGATGTAAGGAGAGTCTACGCTTCACAGCTTTTTCAAGCACTTTTGAAAGGAATTACTGAGGATCGACACGTCTAAGTCCTTTTTCTTTAGAAGCGGTTTTACCACTGCCTTTTTTAGATTTACAGGAACTATTCCTGTTGATAGACTCTGATTGACAATCCTTGTGATCACTGGAATAAGGACATCAATGTATTCAACTAGAATCTTTGTCGGCATAGGGTCAAGATCACATGTTGTGGATTTGCTTTCTTTTATCAAAGTAAGAATTTCGCCCTCAGAGAACTCGGTGAAGCAATTCATAGGAACTCCACAAAACGCAGCAGAATCAAAAGCTGTGTCTTCTCCAGAGCATGTGTTGTCCACGTCACCATGTATTTTCTCTATTTTAGAGACAAAATAGGAGTTGAAACCATTTGCAAGATTTCTATCACAGGTGCGAGGAGACAAAGCAAATTGGTGTAAGGTCTTGAGATTGTTTGTACATTTCTCAAGTTTGGATTAACAACATTTTCATTTTGATTTCCGAATTATCATTGTCACTTCATTTCTAGCTCTTTTGTACATCTGTATATGGACCTCCAATCTTGTTTTTTCTCCACTGTCGCTCAGCCATTCGGCGTTGCTGTTTGGCTTTGAGAACATTTTCACAATACCAGGCAGACGATTTTTGCTGGTTCGTTTCTTCACAACAACAGGAGCGTGTTTGTTGAAAAGATTAGAAAGGGTTTCGTTATATGAATGAGTAAGATCCTCTAGGTCATCGGGATGCGTTTGGACAAGTGAAGAGTTCATCAAGTCTTCTCTAAATAGTTCTGAATTTATATTTTCAGATTCCGACATTTCACCTCAACTCGTTGAGGCGGTGGGCTAGTCAAAGACATTCTGAAGACAATAAAGAAATGGTCTGACATTTGTCTGTCTTCTACCATCACTTCAGTTACGACATCACAAGGACTTCTGGACGCTACCCAGTCAATAGTATGTCCATTTCTATGAGTAGGGACATTCACATGTTGAACTAGATTGTGGCTATCAAGCAGCTTGAGATACCTCTTCACCTCAAGATTGTCACTGTTCTCATCATGAAAATTAAAATCACCTAGAATGTGAAGATTCTTCTGTAAGGGTTTATTCAGATGTAGGGCTAAGTCCTGAAGAAACTCAGAGTGATGTATCCTACTAGCCTTTGAGGGGGGTGGCCTATAAATACACATGGTGCGTAGGGTAATGTCTGAATGTGAAGTTAGAATATCCATACGTTCAAGAACCATATCCACTGTCTACAGAATTCATGACACTGACCTGTAGAAAATTCCGATGAATGATGGCAATACCACCTCCAGTTGAGTGAGTCCTAGGGACATGTGTCAGTGTATATCCAGAAGGGGTCATCTCGGCCATCACAGACTAATCACCTGAAGTCTTGAGCCATGACTCCGTAATGAACAACATGTCTAGTTGATCATCAACAATAGTATCAAATATTTCAAACGTTTCATTTCGTGATGATCGTGCATTCCATAATGCAGCTTTCAACTTTTTGGTTTTCCTTTGAGGGTGAACATAGACCAAATTATCATAGTTAACACTTCTACTACTGACAATTGGTTGAGTAATACTGCTTTGTCTTGATAAGGGCAGAGTTGTTATTTTCCTTTGTTTCTTTCTCCCTCCTCTTCAACTTCTTCGCTTCCTTCAGATTGAGCGGAGTGGTATCCCAGTCAGCTTCAAGTCCTCGACAATAGATCTGGAGAGTTCACACTGATTGAAGCCCAATGTCCACAACTGAGATCTGGTGTAGCAGATTGGGTGCTGATTTCTATCCATTGTTCTCATACAACAGCTTGGGTACTCAGTCCTCTGTTGTAATGGAAATTTACTACAGAAATGTAGAAATACTATCAATAAAGTCAACTTTTGATGTTAGAATACATCAAAAACATTAGTCACAGAATCTTCCTTGAATCACAAGAAATAGATAGATCCAAAGTTATTTTCAATATTTTGAGCATAAACCAGTGAAAATAGCGTATCTTTGCAGAACTAGTACACCTGCAGCTTCAAAGCAGCGACTATAATTATCTCTCCCCTACTGGGTCCAACAAAAGAAATGTTTTCCGTTAACATGGGTTAAATATGAGTGTGAGGATATCCTTGGCTTTAGCAACGAAACTTGAACAGTACTAAAGAACAGTATGTAGTTCACAATTACGTCAACAACAGCAAAAACAACGAAAATACATGTCTAT